GACTGATGACACAGACCTTCCTCCAGAGCTGACAGAGAAAGCATTCCCTTGGAGCTGATGCCCTGAATTTGGACTTGTAGCCTACTGGACTGAGAGAATAAACTTCTCTTTGTTAAAGCCATCCACTTGTGATATATCTGTTAGAGCAGCACTAGATGACTAAGACACTGTCATTCCTTGAATTTTTTTTTCTTTTAACCCTTGGCTTTTCTTGAATCTCTTTCACATTGATTCTGTCATAATTCTTGGTGATTTCAAAATCCACTTAGATAGCTCTTCATAAACACTGGTATATCTCCATCCTGTCCCACATCCTTACAATCCAGACTCCTATATTTCACTGCCCAGTCAACATCTCCAGCTGCATATATAACAGACATCTCAAATCACACTAGCTCAAAATTGAACTCATCTTATTTTTTCCTAAATCTGCTTCCCTCAAGGTCTTTCCAACCCCAGTTAAATAACAACTCCATCGTTTTTTTGTTCAGGCCCTAACCTTCAAGTTATCCTTGACTCTGTTTCACCCTTCACATCAAGTAATCCCATTTTCTCTGTTTCAAAATATATCCAAGAACATGCTGCTTATTATCACTCCTTCTGCTACCACTTTAATCTAAGCTAGTATTCTTTCGTTTGTGAATTATTGTTGTGGTTTCCTAGGTGCTCTTCCTACTTCTGTCTTTGCCTGCCTTCTCCTCCCCTGACTAGTCTCTACACAATAGCCAGAGTGATCCTGTTAAACCACAAGTCAGATTATGTCGTTCCTCTGCTCAAACACCTACAATGGCTCCCCATTTTACTCAGAGTGAAATATTTCCCAAGCCTAATGTGAAATATCTTATGTTTCCACAAGGCCTTATGTGAAATACCACCCTCTCTCCCCAATACATACATACAATTATCTGACCTCACATCCTACCCCTCTCCACTCCTCTTTGTTCCCTCTGCTTCAGTCACGCCCACCTCCTTTCTGTTCCCTAAATATGCCAGGCATGCTCCCTCCTCAGAGATGCCTGGAATGTTCATCCCTATATTTTTGTATGGCCCACTCCCTCATTTTTTCCTCTAAAGTTCACGTTCTCACTGAGGCCTTCCCTGCGTATCAAATCTAAAGTGACAACCGTTGACATTTCTGTCCCACTTCCCTGCCTTCATTTCTCATAAGCACTGAACATTTTTTGGAAGGTATTGTACATTTTAGTTATTTATCTTGTTTACTCTCTGTTCCCCCTTCAGATGAACCCTGTGAAGGCAGTGATTTTTCTTTTTTTTTTTTTTCAGCTGTTTTGTTCTCTGCTATATCACTATATTCCCAGTGTTTGGAAAAGTGCATGGTGCACAGTAGGCGCTTAATACTTATTAAATGAATGAATGAATTTTTCTATCATCACATCTAGAGAGTTCTCATTCATGATCTCTGTGAATAGTACTTTTCCCTCCTTCTGTCAGTGTCCTCCCTCCATCTCTTACAGTCTGTGGTAGAAACGCTCCCTCTCTACTAATGTCTCTTACCCTCCCTTTCATATTTTATGTTTTTACTGCCTCTGGCCTTATGGATGGTTTCTCTAGCTCAGTATTTTCCTCTTCAGCTCTGTCTAATCGATTGTTTAACCCATTCATTATATTTCTCATTTCAATGTTTAAATATTTAATGCATAGCAGTTTTTTCTGGCTCCCTTTTAAAGCTGCCATATCTTTTGATAGTCTTTTTTTTCTCCTTAGCTACACGTATGTTAAGGAGCCCTGGTGGCACATCTGGTAAGCACTTGGCTGCTAACCAAAAGGTTGTTGGTTCGAACTCACTCAGCTGCTCCGTGCTGGAAAGATGTGTTGATCTACTCCCGCAAAGATTACAGCCTAGAAAACCCGATGGGGCAGTTCTGTTCTGTCACATGGGGTCACTATGAGCTGGAATCAACTTGATGACACTTAACAACCGCACGTATGTTGCCCTCTTTCATGTCCTCAATAAAATTAAAAATATTTTAAAAACATCTTATATCTGGTAATTCAGTGATTTCAACCATCAGAGGGGCTGATTCTATCTTTTCTTGTTCTAGATTATCTCATTTATTCTCATTTATGGTGATTTGCTTTCTTGTTATGGATTATGAGCTTATAATCATTGGAACGTTATTTCTGAGACGTTACTGAGCTCTGGGTATAAGGTGTATTTTTCTCCGACTTCTCTGCTATGTTCATAGGAGCAGTATCTACCGGGAACACGTTAAACTCCTGGCTTTTTCAACCCCAAAAGATTGTGCTTCATTCTAGCTGGAGCCAAGTTTAAGAAAGGTGCATTTTAGTTCCATCTCTTTTTATATCATGAGTTTTCTTTTCTTTTGTTGTTAGCTTACCTATTGGAGGTGTCAGGTCTTAGAAGCCTGTTATTTTTTTCAGGGCTGTGTGACTGCTGAATTTTACCTTCTCTCTTGCATACAAGGACTATTAAAACCAAATCACCATAGACTACTAGGTATCCCCAAGGCAACGTCTTGCTTTAGCACCCACTTTCCTCTCTGGATTCATGATTTGTCATCATTTTTAGCCTTGGAGGATTTTTCTTATATTTTTACAAGTGGTGCTATGCCCTTGAAAGTATTAAAATAAGAGATCACTTTCAAGAGTTTTGTTCTTGAGATTTTTGGACTGTTTGGTCCACATGTTGCTGAAAATGGATGCCCTCAGTTATTTCTAGTGTAGAGCATGAGGCTCTCACGATGGAAGACAGTTTTGCAAACAGGGTTACTTCCCTCTTCAGAATGACCAGATTCACAAGGCTGGGGCTTGTGACTAGTTAATTGCTATATCATAGGGGAGGCATGGTTGAGTGTGTGGTGGAAATTGTGGACAAGATGGTAGTTCAGGTGGATTCTCTCCTCCTATTGGAGACAGACAGCATTGATATGAAATATTAAACCATATTAAATATAGACATCTACTTTCAAAAGAAAGATATAAGCCTTCAGGGACCAGAAATGGAGTGGAAAACCCAGTCTTTGACTGGGCAGCTGATGTTTTGATGTATTCGTGGTATGGAGACTGAAATATATAGTAGCATATGGAATTTCTTCTTGGAGGGGGCTGAAAATCAGCCTGCTGCCAATGATTGGAAGTTGAAGAGGCACTCATGACTATTTAATGGTTGTGCCTTTGGTGGATCAAGGAAAGACAGATTGAAACTGGAAATTGAGTGACTGGGTGATTGCTTGAAGGTCCCTGTGTGGCATAAATGGTTTGTGCTTGACTACTAACCTAAAAGTTGGTGGTTGGAACCCATCCAGTGGCACTGTGAAAGAAAGGCCTGGCTATCTGCTTCCATAAAGATTACAATGAAGAAAACCCTATGGAGCAGTTCTACTCTGTAACATACGGGGTTGCCATGAGTTGGACTTGACTCGGTAACAATGGGTTTGGGTTTTTTTTTGGGTAATTGCTTCAGCATTAGACCTGAGTCTTTCCAGAGAAAGTTACAAGGTCCCAAAAGTCTTGATTCTAAGTTGTGGCCCTTGGAGGACTAGAAAATGGAAACTGTAAAATTATAAATGTGGGGTGCAGAATATGAATTCTCACACATAATTCACCCACCAACGAACGCCACTAAGCACAGGAGACAATCCAATGTGATTAAAAACAAATACTGGTGATCTTACCTGTAAGAAAATTGAATTAATTGAGCTATTAATGTTTTTTAAAAAATTCAAAATATAAAGGACAGAATACTATTCATAAAACAAAAATAGTTATCATCTAAGTTCAGAACTTTGGAAACAAGGAAATAAAAATCTTGAAATGAAAAAATGCAATATTTGAAATGAAACCTTTCTTATAGAAGTACAAACAGAATACTGGAAATAGTCAATGAAAAGATCAGTTAATTGAATTAAAGAATAGAGAAAGCTGGAATTGACAAAAGGTATACACACCACATGCAATGTAATATTAAGATTTAAGAGTCATGCTTGACTGATTGAACAGTGCCATTACATATCTCATTGCATTTCCAGACAGGGGCTTGTGTGGGATATTCCAATGGATCGAGCCTAAGATTTTGTAGGATTTCAGGAAAAAGAGTTAGTAAAGCATGTCGATAATCTAAATAATTATTGATGTTTAAAAAAATGAAATTGTCTACCAACTTCAGCTTTACCAGTAGTATTTTATTTCGTTTATAAAAATACAAAGCAAGCATGACAATAAATTAACTTTTTAAAATGAGAAGTTTGGTTCACATGGTTGTGTTCCAAATTAAAAAAAATGAGAGAAAACAACAACAACAAAAAAACCTCAAGGTGTAATATGAATGATACAAAATAATGTGGAATAGCAGGAATGCAAATATTTTCCATCAGTCTATGGGGGAAATCACCAGACAAACAGAAATACATATCTCAATGCATGCTGAAAACTTGATAAAATTCAACGTGTATTAATAATCAAAAGTAAATCGATGGAAGAGAACTTCTTCAACAGGTTTAAGGGGTAGCTATGAACAAACATATTATCATTACTTACAGTAATATTTGGCAAATTCTCAGAAGAGCAGCTGGGAACACCAAGAAAGAGAAAAACTATGGTTAAGAGTTCACAAATTCATAAAGAAACACACAAGGAAACTCGTCACATAACAAACGCAGTCATTATTTTGGTTTGGGAAGAAATGGGACCAGCTGATGCTACAGAAAGCTGGATTTTGCGAGAAAATAACTGATGCAAAATGAGGGGGCATTGAGGGACCTGAAGCAGCCCAAAGGTTTGAATATACAGCGTCTGGTATCTCTGGGTGGATTTTCGATTTCAAAGATCTAGAATCTGCTTTCTCTTCCTGAGATCCTCATCTGCTATTAGCGGTCAGTAGTCTGCAGAGAAAAAGCAACTGTCCGCTGTCTGCTCATGAGTACTCAATCTCCAGGCTGTTCGATAATACATGAGGATTCTGAAAATCCTGAAGGGCCCCCGAGGGTAGCCAGCTTTGTGTGTGTGGGCGTGGTTCATCCCTAGAACAAGCATCTCCGGGCCCTGCAGGGAGGCCGGGGAGAGCACTGGGGGCGCTCGTGGGGGCCTGGACTCGGAGACGGGGGCAGAGGTTGGAGTGGTGAGTTGGGGAAGGGCCCCAGAAGGTGAGAGTCCAGGCTGGGGACCCGAGGAGAGGGTTCTAGGATGGCGCCCCGCGGGCAGGGACTGGGGACTCTTCTAGCGGAGGGGCGGAGCCCAGCGACCGAGCCAGCCTGAGGGTTTATCCAGAGCTGCAAGAACTCGGGGTCCACTTCCTCCTCTGCTTGGGCTGCAGTCTCCGAGGCGGATGCGCGGAAGGATCCCTGCTCAACAGCGACGTCGTCCCCGGGAGCGCTCTAGAAAGAGCCCAGTTCCAGACTGACAGGCGAGTTGCTTTCCCCTCTGGAGTCTTCGACGAACGAACCCAGGAGAGCCTCGTGGACCAGAATGAGGGTGTGGTCCCCGAAAGACACCCGCAGGACGGACGTGGGCGCGGACTGCAGCGCCAGGTCGGCATCGAGCAGCCGCAACTGCACAGCACAGCCTGCGGCCAGGGCCACCACGGAGGTGAGAACGCCCGCGGCCCCTATTGGCCCAGCCTGGACTTCGGGCTCCTCCCATCGGAAGCGCTTGGACAGGCGAGGTCCCCCGGGCTGAGGCCCCCACCAGGGCGCTGGGCAGGGGCTGGGGCTGGGGCTGCGGCGCCTGCTGCCCATTACCTCGACGGCGCAACGGGCGGAGTTCCTGGGGCCTGGTGGAGGGCGCGGGGCGTGGGGGATCAGCCCTGCGCGCGGTGACGGGTCTCTACAGTCAGGCAAGGTCTGAGGGCGGATGGGTCGCAGGAGCCTGCGACGCCGGGCGAGTCCTCGGAGCTTCGAGGTCACCTCCCGGGTGAGCAGCAGTCCAGGTTTAGGGGAGCCAAGTCCCGCGCAGGACTCGGCCTCGCGTATTCGAATCTGGGCTTCCTCACGCCAACCGGATGCCCACCAGACGGCCTATTATGTTGCAGGTGACGCCAGCGGAACCAAAGTCGCAAAATGTCACGTTAAGCTCCGCCCCCTTCGAGGCTCCGCCCCAGAGAGACAGAGGCGTCCCTGTAGTCCAATACAGTGGCTGCGGTTGGTAGGTCACTGTAAGGAAATATTTCTATAGATCTATAGGGGGCAGAACAATTATGCCCGCTATAGGGCTTGGCTTCTAATGTCAGGTTCTCGGGCTTTCCTGCGTTGACCTCAGATGCGCAGGTAATGCTCAATTACGTTGCAAGTCATAATAGCCAAAAGCCAGAAAGCCAGGGGCACTAGGACCCGAAGACATAATGGCAGCCTCCTGCCGAGGCCCCGCCCCGGAAATGTCCTGCGCTATCCTTTTGATCCAATAGTGAGGTGAGTTTTGGGTGACACTCTTAGGCAAGTGTTCGCCTGTTAACGACAGATCCGTTTAGGGTAATCGTAGACCCTGCATCATTAGTTAATTGCTGTAGTCAGTAAACCAAAAAAACCACACCAGTTGCCATCGGGTTGCTTCCGACCCATGGCGACTCAATGTAGGTCAGAGTAGACTGTGCTTCATAGAGTTTTCAGAGACTGGTTTTTTGGAAGTAGATTGCCAGATCTTTCTTCTGAGGTGCCTCTGAGTGGACTCTAACCTCCAGTCTTACCGCATTGGGCAGGAACACCTGCAGGGCAAAACCAGGGCCATGACCACCACAGAGATGAGCAAGCCTAGTGCATTAACTGTTTGCACCACCAGGGACTCCGTAGTTAGTACTATGTAGTAATTATTATACTACCATAAACTGTAGTAAGACTTTACTTACTTTATCAAATTACCTAAACTAGCACCTTGAGGTGTTTTCAATTTTTAGCTTAGTCTTGTTGTTGTTAGTTGCCACCCAGTCGATTCTGACTCATGGCGACCCCATATGTGCAGAGTAGAACTGCTTCATAGGGTTTTCAAGGCTGTGACCTCTGGGTGGGTTCGAACCACAACCTTTTGGCTAGTACTCAGCGCTTAACCGTTCACACCACCCAGGGACTCCTTAGTTCAGTTTATAGATGCTGAAATGCCATGCAGAATGGTTAACTAACTTGCTCAGGAAACTGGAACTAGCAGAGCTCAGTTTGAGATGTCAAGTTCCACTTAAGATGATACAGGGTTAGCGCTTTTGATCTGAGTGTTTGTAAAGGCAGGTGTGTGTGGTGTGAATACACCTGGCTGCAAAAGGAAAGGTGTGGCTCAACTCATTATCTAGTGTTAATAAGAGAAAACACTCAATGCTAATTTTGGAATAGGTCGTAATTTTATATGGTTCAAAGCATACATGGAAACATTTCTTCCCATTCTTGCCCCTTAGCCACTTGATTTCTTACCTTGGAGGTAACCGTTATTATGATTTATTCCAGAATATTTTGTGCACTTAAAAGCAAATCACATGTATATTATTTAGCTCCCTCCTCCTTTACAAAGTAGTATAGTACATACACCCTATTTATAAGGGCTGCAGCATTCCTTTGTGTGGATTTTTAATTTAAATCAGGCTTCTCTTGATGTACATTTAAGCTAGTGGTCTGTGACTTGGCAGCATTTGTATCTCCTGGAAAGTTTATGGAAAATTCAGGTTCTTTGGCCCCATCACAGAACCACTGAATCAGATTTCCTAGCGGGTGAGACCTAGGAATTCTCTGTAATCACCCCCAGAAAATTCGGTTTTATGCTGAAGTTTAAGATCACTGAACTTGTTTTCATTTCGCAGTTGAGAGGTTCAGGTAGGGTGCATTTTCTGCTTGTGGTCAGGGTGCTGCTTCTTGGTAACAAAATTATGGAGGCATGTGCCGTGGCCTCAGATTCTACCACTAGGGCTCGATTTCTGGGTATTCCTCGTTGCAGTGGCGGAAAATTACCGAGAGGACGTGGCCTGGGGTTGGGCACTGGCTGGGCAAACCCGCTCGGACTCCAGCCGGTGTTGGGGGGGTCCTCCCGGAACCTCTGGTCCCCGCAGGTGCCTCCTGCGGGGTGAATGTGGACGCCACTGGAGTCCGGGCTCAGAGGGCGTCGGGAGTGGGAAGTTTGCGGGAGATGACAACTTACTTTGGCCCTGGAGTGTTCTGTCTGCGACCTGGGAATGTTCCAGGCTCCAAGAATAGTGAGGGTGCCATTCAGGAGAGTGAGAGTGAACTGCCATTGTGTGAGGGGCAGATGGGCGAGCACAGGGTGGGCCAGCACACAGGAAGGGGCTTCTGGCCAGACCCCCAGCTCTGAGCTAGGTGGAGCCTGTTCCTGGTGCCACCTCCTGTCTGATGCTCCTGCGAGTTCATCACCATCCTGGGCCCTGTGATTTAACCCAAGTCTCTACTTCCTCAGAATCCTCACTGTGAACTCCCTTTCCAAGGGAGTGTGATCCTGTCTCTGGATGGAGCCAGTGAGCAGTGGTCTTGTAAGGCACACTCTTGGTTCAGTCACTTTCTAAGTGGGTGATCTTGGGCAAGTCACGTCACCCCCTGTAAGACTCAATTTCCTTTCATGTAAAATGGGGCAAATGCTATCTATTTTGCAGGGTGGTTGTGAGATAATGTGTGTAAAATGTTCCTGGAACATAGAAGGTGCTTAGTAAATAATCACTATTATTACGTTTATTATCTGTCTTTTCCACTTAACAGTGTCAGCTCTGTACCCCAGGGTCTGGAAAGTCATCATCATCCTAAAAAGGAATCCTGCCTTTTAGAAAACACACTTCCAGGTGTTTTTATGGCATAATACCTATATGGATCAGGAATGGGTGTGCTGGCACCCTATCAGATATTTTCATTCTGCCTGATTTTACCTTTTTCTTAAGAGTACTCAAAAGACTGTCGGAGTGGATTATCAGGCCCACTCATTGGGTTTCCTTGGTGTCAATCAATACTACCTAACCAATCAGTACAAACTGCTTGAACCTCTGAGGAGGCCGGACTCGGGAGTCGGGCAAAAATGTCTTCCAGGTCTGCGCAGGGAGCAAGGTGGCAGAGGCAAGTTCCACTGAGAGAAGCGAGGGAGCTCTGGTCTAGGAAGCTGGGCACTATTAGGGACAGTGCTGAATGGGGATCAAGAGTTTCTTCAACTTTGGGGCATCTGGGCACTGCCGATCCTTTGTTGGTTTATCTGAGACCTGGAGGCTTAGGCCCAGGACTTGGGGCTGGAACAGTGCTTTTGGCATTGGCTATAATGAGGCCTGTGTGTTATCCCCTAGAATGCAGTAATGACTTTTAAAAATCCCTATTTATTTTTATTCACACAAGTCACAATACATGAATGCATTTTCCAAATATACGGTGTAGCTAAAGCTGCAGTCTCCCATCAATTCCCCACCCCACCACCACACACTAATCTGAGGCTGGTGTGATTAAGACCCCTTTCTATGTATTTTTTACTTTCTTCCTGGAATGGCACCATACTGTGAGTATTTTTCTGCAATATGTTAGAGTGTACTCTTATTTGCCATTGTTATCTGCCAAGTACATTATCTGTTCCATCTTTTATTCAAGAATCTTTCTTTTTTAACATGCACTACTGACTTTTCTATCTTGTTTGAACATTTCTGTAAGAAGAGGCAATTTCAAAAATCTCACGTACAAGAAAGCTACTGGAACTAATAGAAAGATTCAGCAGAGTAGCAGGATACAAGATAAACATACAAAAATCAGTTGGAGTCTTATACACTAATAAAGAGAACAATGAAAAGGACATCAGGAAAGCAATACCGTTTATAATAGCCCCTAAAAAAATAAAATACTTAGGAATAAATCTAGCCAGAGAAGTAAAAGACCTATACAAAGAAAACTACAAAACACTACTTCAAGAAACTCAAAGGGATCTACATACATGGAAAAACATACTATGCTCATGGATAGGTAGATTCAACATTGTGAAAATGACAATTCTACCCAAAGCAATTTACAAATACAATGCAATCCCGATCCAAATACCAACAGCATTCTTTAAAGAGATCGAAAAACTTTATATGGAAAGGGAAGTAGCCTCGAATAAGTAAAGCACTATTGAAGAAGAAGAATAAAGTAGGAGGACTCACACTACCTGACCTCAGAACCTACTATACAGCTACGGGAGTCAAAACAGCCTGGTACTGATACAACGACAGATACATTGACCAATGGAACAGAATTGAGAACCCAGATATAAATTCATCCACCTGTGGTCACCTGATCTTCGACAAGGGCCCAAAGTCCATCAAACGGGGAAAAGGTAGTCTTTTTAACAAATGGTGCTGGCGAAACTGGATGTCCATCTGGAAAAAAATGAAACAGGACCCATACCTCACACTGTATACAAAAACTAACTCAAAATGGATCAAAGACCTAACTATAAAGCCAAAAATTATAAAGTTCATAGTAGAAAAAATAAGATCAATGCTAGAGGCCCTAATACATGGCATTAACAGGATACAAACCATAACCAACAACACACAAACTCCAGAAGATAAGCTAGATAACTGGGATTTTCTAAAAATCAAACACCTATGCTCTTCAAAAGACTTCACCAAAAGAGTAAAAAGAGAACCTACAGACTAGGGAAGAATTTTTGGACATTGCAAGTCAGACAAAGGTCTAATCTCTATAATCTACAAGAAAATCCAACACTTCTACAACAAAAAGACAAATAATCCAATTAAAAAATGGGGAAAGGAAATGAACAGACACTTCACCAAAGAAGACATTCA